TATCCAATTTTTCTCAGTCTCACTCCAACCCTGATGTCATTCCCATTCTACAACAGTGCCACTATGCAGTATTTGTCCTTTTGTGACTGAGATATTTCACTCAGCATAATGTCCTCCAGGGTCATCCATTAAGAATCACTGTAAGGTTACATTTACTAAGGCAATAGAGATACTAAGGCAATAGAGATACTTATGCTTGTTTTTATGTGCTGTCAAGTTGCCTGTGAATCCTAATGACCCTATGTACAATAGTTTTGAAATCTGCCCTTTACTGAGCCAGTCTCACTGATTCTGACACACCTAGCCCCATTGTCCCAGTTACTGTGTTAATAGATCTCATCCAGGGACTTCCTCTCCTGTGCTGTCCCTCCACCCTTCCGAGCATGATGTCCTTCTCCAAGGACTGGTCCCTCCTGGACATGTGCACAAAATATGTGAGAAATCCTAGCCTCCAAGGAATAACTTAGTTTCACACTCTCCAATACAGACCTGTTTGTTCTCTTGGTGTCCGTGGTATATTTAATCTCTTCTCCAGCACCACAACTCAAGGGTATTGATTCTTCTTCAGTCATCCTTAGTTATTGCCCAGCTCTCTGATGAGTATCAAGTAATTGAGAAGACCATGGCCTTAATCTCTACACTGACATCATTATTCTTTAGCACTTTGGAGAGGTCCTTGACAGCAGACTTCCCAAGTGCAATTCCTCTTTAGATTTCCTGACTGCTGGTACCAAGACTGTTGATTATGGTACCAAGCAAGCTGAAATTGTTAGCAACCTCAATCTCTTCTCCATCTATCATGGTGTTGCCATTTGGCGTAATGGTGAGAATCTTTGTCTTTTTGATGCTGAGCTTCAATCCATATTGAACACTACAGTCCTTGACCTTCTTCAGCAAATGCTTCAGGTCTACCTCAGTTTCTGCAAGCAAGGTTGTATCATCTGCGTAATGTAGTTTGTTGATATGTCTTCCTCTAATCCTGATGCCACATTCCTTCTCATAAAGTCCAGCCTCCTGAATGATCTGCATATAGATTGAAACAGAATGCATCCATGACACACTTTTTTCCTGATTTCGAATCATGCATTTATGCTTACTTGGGGGGAAAAATTAGAGCAAGTCAGGATTTGAGGAATACAACTCAAATTTAAGTGTAGGTAGAAATCCTTATTTGACATCTATATATTTGTAATATGAAGTGTAAAGGCATAATAGAAACAAAAACATAACATCGCAAGCTTCTTTTACATAAGTTCTAATCATAAACATCCTCTTTTGAAAAATTTACACAGATGTGTATCCATTGCTTAAATTGTAATTCCACCTACTTTGAGTGCAATAGTAAAAAGGGAGGTAGAATTTTCTATACAATGATAAACTTTCTACATATGCGTACATGCACACACATATGCAAATGCATACCCTAAGACAAACCATATACATAAAATAAGATGTTGAATTTAAAGACAAAACTGAATTTAAAGCTCTGCACTTTATGTGCTAAGTTTATTACAAATAACCAGTCACTGTTAATATATTATTACTAATTTAATTCTGTAGTTTAGGGTTAACTCTCTGGATTGTATATAGCTATTTGTTTTAGGGGTTTTTTTTTGTATGCACATTCATGTTTATTACTGTGTTATTCCCAATAGCAAAGAGAAGAAATTGGTGCACTTTGGCTGGGGCTCTACTGAATTGGATATAGTTTTGTGCACTCTTTGGATTGTATATAGTTTTGACAAATCTATAATGGCATGTGTCCACTATGCATAGTATCATCCAGGACATTTCAGTGCCTAATGCTCCACACCTTCTTTCCTCCCTCTGAACCCCTGGGAACCACTGATCTTTACCTAAGACTGTCATATAGTTGGAAACATACAATATGTGTAGCCTTTTCAGACCGACTTCTTTCACTTGTGCTCCATCAGGTGGATAGGTTGATTATATATAGAGATATAGATATAGATAGATGATATATATAGAGATAGAGAGATATGTATATATAAATAGATATATATGTATATTTGTATATATATAGAATATGTATAGAATGTATATATATATATATGTGTGTTGTGTGTGTGTATAGAATGGATAGATAATAGACACTGTATTGAAAAAAGTGAAAGGAAGTTCAATCTGAAGTGAATGGATGATCAGACATTACAGGAATTACAATAAAAAATATGGAACAGGATATGTATTTATGAATTGAATCAGGGGAGGGGAAAACCAAAATATGTATAAATGAGTGAATGAAAACCCAATTTCTTTTTAAACTTCCATTCAAATCACACGCACACAAAGTTTATCTGAGTTAACATGTTGACTGAAGTACTGGAGGTTTGAATCCACCAGTCATTAGAATGATGGACAGTTTCTTCTTGTTGAGATTGACAGCCTTGGAAACTCAATGGAGGGTTGCCATTAGTAAGTATTAAATTAGTAGTAGGGTTTAGGGGTATATGATAGTGTAAAACTGCCTCTTCCTCTGAAAACCACTGGAGAGTCAACTATGAGTCAGTTCTGACTTAATGGTACACAGCAACAACAACATTGTTTTTACAGGCGTAAATCACTAGACCTTTGTTCCTATAGAGCTGCTAGTGGAGTCAACCAGTGACCTTTGGTTAGTATGCCAGATTTAACAACTGTACCATCAGGGCTCTTTTCCTTCACTTAACAGGGGGCATTTATGGTTCCTCCACGTATTTTTGTGATTTGAGAACTCATTGTTTTAAAGTCACTAAAGTCATTCCATTGTTTGGTTTTTCATCTACCTACCAGAGAACACCTCGGTTACTTCCAATTATGCACATCATTCATTGCAATTGAGTCAAAACTGACTCATAGACAGCCCTCCATTTTGGTTTTCAGAGGCTATAACTTGAATGGGAGAATATTGCCCATCATTTTCCTTCGGAGAAGCTGGTAGATTTGAACTACCTGCTTTAGAGTAGGCAGTGCAACTCCTTACCTACTCGGCCTCCAGAGCTTCCTATGGAAGTCATCTAGTCCAGAGTATAAAAAGACTCACTTAACAATCTTGTTCCTTGTATTGTTGTTGTTGTCGAGTACCATCAAGGTAGAACAAACCCATCGCTGACCCTCCAGTGGGTTTTCAGAGGCAGTTAATTACACAGGAGGAGATTGGCCATATTCCTCCAGCAGAGCAGCTGGTGGATTCCAACTGCATGCCTTAAGGATTGCAGCATGGTTTTCTCATCACTAGGCTACTAGAGCTCCCTTATATTAGAAAGTTAAAATATCTTAAAAGACTAACATGAAACATGCTCCAACTTATATTTAAGGGAACACTGAATACTTCATCCTCACTGGACAGAAAGTATTCAAAGGGGTCTGACGTAGGCTCACCAGAGCATCCACTTCTAAACAACATGCTTCCAGGGAGCTCTGGTGGCCTAGTGGCAAGAAGCTGCATTGCAATCCCAGAGGGACATGGTTCAAATCCACCAGATGCTCAGCTGCAGAAGGAGGGGCAATCTCCTGTACCTGTCAGATCCAATTTGACGGTACACTAATAACAACAACAACAACAACAACACCATGCTTCCGGAAACTATGAACTTTGATAAATGTCGATAATTGTAGAGGGGCTTCAGGCCCTTTGTTCATAGGGTCGCTATGAGTCATGCTCGACTTGAAGACAATCAACAACCACAACTGAAGTAGCTTCACCTGATTTATGTACATTTCTTATCCTATTCCATATGGGTAGCTTGAGTTTAGCCTTGTTGGGGGACAATAGTTATAACACAGAAATAGGACAGTATTACAAATGAGGACATTTTCTCCAGAGTCAATGGTAAAGGTTTTCTAGGATAAAATAAATTACAGTAATGTGGATTTTAAAATAAACCTTACAATTTCATAGGTTTTAGAAATCATTTGGTGGGAGAGGTTAAGAAAGGAGATAAAGGACCCTTTCTATGAAGATGGTGCCAAAAGCGAAGAAGGAAGCCCCTCCCAAAACTGAAGCCAAAGCAAAGGCATTAAAGGCCCAGAAGGCGTCCTGAAGGGCATCCACAGCCCCCCACCCCCAAAAAAAAAGAAGAAGATCCACACATCACCCACCTTCTGGTGGCCTAAGATGCTGAGACTCTGAGGGCAGCCCAAATACCCCAGAAGAGCACCCCCAGGAGAAACAAGCTTGACCATCATCAAGTTTCCCCTGACCACTGAGTCAGCCATGAAGAAGATAGAAGATAATAACACACTTGTGTTCATTGTGGATGTCAAGGCCAACAAGCACCAAATTAAGCAAGCTGTAAAGAAGCTCTATGACATTGATGTGGCTAAGGTCAACACTTTGATTAGGCCTGACGGAGAGAAGAAGGCCTATGTTCAACTTGCTCCTGACTATGACGCTTTGGATGTTGCCAACAAAATTGGGATCATCTAAACTGAGTCTAGCTGGCTAATTATAAATATAAGTTTTTCTCACAAAAAAAAAAAAGAAAAAGAAAGAAAGGAGATAAAGAAAAGTGCTGTCTAGTTGATTCTGATTCTTAATCACCCTATGCACAACCTTGCCTAACCATGTGCATGTTGTTGTCATTGTGTCAATTAACATGTTGTGGATCGTCTTTTCCTTGGATGACCCTCTAATTTTCCAAACATGATATCCTTCTCTAAGACTGGCTCCTCCTGATAACATATGTGCGAGACAAAGTTTCTCAATCCTTGTTTCCAAGGACCACTCTCGCTTCACCTCTTCCATGACAGATTTGTTTGTTATTTTGATAGTTCATGATACCTTCACTACTCTGCCAACACCGTAATTCAAAGGCATCAATTCTTCTTCAGTCTTTCTTTTTCATTGTCCAACTTTAACATGCATATGAAGTAATTGAAAATACCCTGGCTTGGATAAGGTGCACCTTAGCACTCAAAGTGACATCTCTGCTCTTGAGCACTTTAAAAAGATCTTCAACAAAGCTTGAAATAGAAATACCATTAAACCCAACAATTCCACTACTAGGAATATACCCTAAAGAAACCAGAGCTGCCACCCAAACAGATACATGCACACTCATGTTTGTTGCTGAGTTAGTCACAATAGCAAAGAGATGGAAGCAACTCAAGTGCCCATCAACAAACAAATGGATGGGAGAACTATGTTATATCCACACACTGCAATACTGGGAAGCACTGAAAAACAAGGAATGCATAAAAAATATTACATAACATGGTTGACCCTGTAGGACATTATGCTGAGTGAAATATCTCAGTCACAAAATGACAAACAGTGCATAAAACCACTGATATACAGTCGGATTGACATGGGAGGTTGGGAAGAAGCTAGGAAAAGAGTGGATAGATAATACTGCATTAGAACAGAAGAGGGAAAGAATTGTTTAAAAGGAATGTATCATTAGGCATTGTATGTATGACAACAATCCAGTATAAAAGGGGGTAATGCAAAGTAGACTGGGGGAGGGGAGAGGGAAGTGGGAGTGTAGGGAGAGAGGGAAGAAATTATACATCAATGAATGAATGTTTTTTAAAAAAGAAAGTGAATTGTGGGGAGTGAGAAAGGAGAAGGAGAGAGGAAATATGTTTAACAATGACTGAAAGAAAATTCAACTTTTCTGTAAACTTTTGTTAAAACCGTAATAAAATAAGACCATTATGGTAAAAACAGAAGAATAACTAGTAAAACATATATGGGGACCCAAAGGAGGAGGGGCTGGAAGCAGAGGAGTGAGGATAGGTATATGTATATGTTGTTAAGTGCCATTGAGTCGAGTATGATGCATAGTGAGTCCCTGAACAACAGATCTGAACCCTGTCCTATCTTGTGACATCCTCACACTTCCTGACACATTAGTGCACATCGCAGCAGTCACCATGTAATCCATCTAGTTGAGTGTCTTCCTCTCCTTCACCAGCCCTCTACCCTTCCCAGCATCATGTCCCTCTCCAAGGAATAGCCTCTCCTAGCAACATGCCCAAAGTATGTGAGCCAAAGCCTCATCACCTTGCCTCCAAGGAGCATTCTGGCTTCACCCTCTCCAATATAGACTTTCCCCCCCCTTTTGACTGTCCATAGAATGTTCAGTGCACTTTTCCACCACCACAGCTCAAAGACATCAATTCTTCTTCTGTCAACATTAGTCATTGTCCAGCTCTCAGATGCATAGTAAGTGAAGCAACCTGAATCAGATGCACCTTAGTCCTCCAACTAACATCATCATTCATCAATAATTTAGACTGCAGACTTTCCCAGTGCAATACATCTCCTGATTTCTTGACTACTGGTACCAAGGATGTTGATTGTGGATCCAAGTGAGATGAAGGTGACAGTTTCAATCTCTTCTCCATCTATCTGTAGGTCACCCATAATCTTAAATGTTTAAGTTTACTGTCACAGAAATGAAATACTTTTTCCAGACAAAATTCAGAGATGAAAACTTGGTGGGGATATGTTTCCTGTGCATTTTCATTTTTTAAAAAAAATTCTTTCTAGTTCTAGGTGTGATTGTCAATTTGACAGACCTGTAATCCTAGGTATAAGCACCTCCAGATAGATAAGAATCTATCAACTTAACCCAAACGGAAACGACTTAACATAGTGGTCATCAATTGAATAGGCCTACAATTTTCTTTTGTTGCCTTTCCCTCATGTTGCCTTGTGCCTGTCATCAAGCTCATGAGAATTCTAAATAAAATAGGTATAGAACTTGATACAGGATCTGATACTAGGCTTCATAGATAGTGGTTTGGTTTTGGTTGTTTTTCTAAAACAAATTGAAGGTTTTGCGGCAACTCTCCATCAAGCAAGTCTGTCAGCTTTCCAACAGCATGTGCTCACTGTGTACTTTGGTGTGATGATTATGGTAATTTCCTCAAGAGTTCACACTTTTTCATTATGTTACTGTATGTTTAGGGAACACTAGTGGTAAAGAAGTGCACTGCTAACCCTAAGGTACATGGTTCTAATTCATCAGCCGCTCTGGGGGAGAAAGATAGACAGTCTCCTCTTGTGTGATTTATGGCCTCTGAAAACCCGTTGAGGGTCAGCTGTGAGTTGATTCCAATTCAGTAGTACACAGCAACAACAACCCACACATGGCCGTTGAGTTGGGACCAACTCCTAGCAACTTTCTATCTGTTGTCTGAGGCTGTAAATCTTTATGAGAGGATACTGCCCATTTTTCTCCCATGGAGTGTCTAGGGTACCAGATTGTTGGGAACTTGAAACCATTCACCCATTTAGTAAGTTATTACATGTGAAGGCAATAAAAGATAAATCCTTTCCTGTGATGAATGTAGTATGAGCCCCTCCCCTCCTGTTGAACCCCAATACAATATACATGCTTATTAGGAAATTTGAGAAAACTCAAACAGAAGGAACCTGAGAAGCATTTAAATCACACATTCCTCACTGATGCTGATAGTTATTTCATGCATTTTGCCTGGGTTGCTTATTTGCCTGGGTTGTCCTTTCTTCTCACCAATTCCCAGTTGTCTCTCTTGCCCATAAATCCCTCCCTCCCACTTGGGGTCAATATCCTTTCATGCAGGTTGGCCAGCCTCAACTCTCACTTGCATCTCCAAGGGTACAGAAGGATTGTTTTCTCTCAAAGCTCTAAGCTTTGTTCTCCTATCGGATGGTGAGGGCTGGGGTGGCTTCAAGTGTTTGCAAATAATTACTGCACATGGATGAACTTTCTAGGACTACGAAAGACTTGGTATGAATAAATGAAGTTGAGAGATAAGTAAAGGCCTGATAAGTAAAGGACGAGGGCTGCTTTGTTTCTTCAGTGACTTGTATGTTTTGTTATCGAATCATTAAGAAAGGAGCAAAGCAATGCAATGGTGCTCTGGGTGTTGTGGGCGAGAGGAGCCAAAATCTGCATTTCACTTGGGATCGAAGCTCTGTTCCAGTCACGGAGGCCCTTTCTCCTCTCCTGTCTTCCCTTCTCCCATCATACACACAGCCTGACTCTCATATCTGACTTTCAGGAAGGAGGAAATCCAAATTTAGAGCCCTCGTAAACTTTTTTGAGCGGAAGGGGGGAGTGCACAGCGAAAAACCTGGAGGATCCAAAGAAGACGCTGGTGCCGAGGCTGATGACGAGGCCAATGATGAAATCGACGAAAGTCGGAGTCGGAGAACACCAACCTCGTCCAGCAGCTTGCCCATCACTTCTCTGAAGTCAAGTTCATCAAGTAAACCACCTGGAAGCAGGTAAGGATAGGTCGGGTGGAAAGGTATACGGATAGCACAAGGGACGGCAGCTCTGGGACTGGCTTTTGGTTTCCTTGCTTTGTGAAGGCCTGGTTGGCAGCTATTGCAAATGCTAACCTACACAGCTCAGTGGGCAAGTGGGGAATGCGCACCCACTATCCTCTTGGAACACAGAGCAAGAGGGATCAGGGAGCCCTTTCCCTGACACAGCCAAAAGAACTTGAGGTGTGAGGCCTACTACTAGCAAGGAACGAGTGACCCTTGGCTCATAGAGTCAGGGTGACCCACACCACTTAAGGGATTTTGTGTGGATTGCTTACTAGGCCCCTTCACTGCAGAGTTGCAATTACTGTTGTTAAGATTGTCCATCTTTCTTTCTCACAGCCCCTGGTGGATTCAAATTGCTCATCATTGGGCTGACAGTGCAACTCCTTATGCACTAGGCCATCAGTACGGTTCTTTGCAATTAATGTTGTTGTTGTGTGCCATCGAGTAAGAACAGACCCAGAGCTGATCCCAGAGGGTTTTCAGAGGCAGTTAATCACTCAGGAGGTGATATAATTCATCTTTCTTTCATGGAGTAGCTGATGAATTCAAACTGCTTACCTTTGGGTTGCTCATGCAACTCCTTACCACTAGGCCAATCAATAGACAATAAATACAAATCAATCAATAAATAATCAATAATAAAAAAGAAATAATAATAAAATAAGTAAATACAAACAAGCAAACAAGCAAACCAATTAACAGTCTAACTCCCCTTTTTTCCTTTTTTCTGGGAGACTGGGGACAATGTTGTAACTAATCAGAGAAGATATGAGAAAGACTATTTTTCAGCCACCACTACCCATCCCTCATTTCCACTACCTCTTGTTTTGTTCTCCTGTTGTGTAATAACTGCATCTGTGCCTGGACCTTTTATAGCCTTCTAATTGAGTTCCACTTGAATCTGTTCTCCTTGACCTTAAGTTCCAGAGCTATCGAAATTCCCATAGAACTCACTTGCACTGCTACCCATTTCCCCAAGGCTCTGCTTGGTGGTCATGGGACAATTATTTTAGAATGTTACACTTGCCCTCTTCTCAGCACTTTCAATAGCATACCATATGCATATCCCCTTAAGATGGATCTTAGGCATGAAATGCTAGAAATTTTGCATAATCTTGCTAGTACGGGAAAGGTAGTTCAAACTCACCAGTCCCTCTGCAGGAGAAAGATGAAGCAATTTCCTTCAAGATGTTCAGCCTCTGAAAACAAATAATCATCAGTTGGACTTGATGATTGTGAGGTTTGCTTTGCTTTGCTTTTTAATGTAGGGTTTTTTTAGTATAAGTAGTATAAACTCAAAAGAGAAACCTTATATGTGAATTGAATATTGTGGTTGTGGTAGGGCTTTTTTTTTTTTTTAAAAAAAACCCAACAACCCTGTTTTATAATGGCTTACATACAAAGTTTATAAAGTTCATAAACATTGTTTTCCACACTGGACCTTTCCACTTTCCTTTACCAATTCCTCCCTCCACCTACCAAATTGTGTGACCCTATATTTAAGCCCTCCCCCCCAATCCTCTTACACATTCTACAATTATATTAGGTCCTATACAGTATTTGTCCTTATGGGACTGAGTTAGTTCACTTAGCATAATGCTGTTCAGTCCTTTCTATCTTAGATAGTAATTTACAAAATCAATGTTCATAGCAGCATTATTCACTATAGCAAGAACATGGAAACAGCCCAAATGCCCAACCACAATGGAATGGATTGAGAAATTATGGTACATTCACACAATGGAATACTATGCAGCACGCGGGTTGTGAGGTTTTTGTTTTCTTTCCTGTAGTGAGTAACTTCAGCAATGGCCTTGAGTGTGGCAGAGATAGGACAAGATTTTGAACTGTGTACACAGAGTTGTTATGAGTCAAGTTGCTTTGACGGCATCTCACAATAACAGGAGGTGGTTTGGGGCAGAGGAGCTTATTGTATTACTATTATCGATCATTGCCTTTTGGCTTTAGATAAGACTAAGACTAAACTAAAAACTCACTGTCCTTGATTATGACCCTTAACAACACAATAGGACAGGTAGAACTGCCCCACAGGTAGTCTGAGGCTGTAAGCCTTTATGGGAGTAGACTGCCCCATCTTTTCTCCCTCAGACAAAGTGTTAGGTTTGAATCATCAACCTTTTGGTTAGTAGTCCAACACTTAACCCATTATGCTACAGGCTCCTAAAACTAAGGCTATTGTTAGACATTATTGAGCTGATCGTAACTTGTAGTGCCCCAATGAATAACAGATTCAAACCTTGCCTTATCCTGCCCCATCCCCACAATCTCCACCATTCTGAAGCAGAGTAAGAGTAGTCCTGCCAAAAACCAGATGGTGGAGGCAGGAGGGAACTTTGTGGCAACTCTGAATTTTCTGTACCCCTGTGGTAAGACTCTGTGCTGCAATCCCAAAGACATGTGGTTGAAATCCACCAGCTTTATGTAGGGGAAGGATAGGCAATCTCCCATGTGATTTACTGTCTCTGAAAACCAAAGTAAAGGAAAATTCTTTCATTGTTTTGCAATCCCTCCCCCCGGGTCCACTCCACTATGCAGCCTTCGTTCTGGACTCCTGTCATGACAATAATACCTAATCACATATCCCTTTTAAACAGTCTTCTCCCTCACCTGTTTCAATGCAGTATACATTATCCTTCCCATATTTCTCAGTCTCCCCCTAGCCCCAAGGTCAGTCCTGTTTTACAGAAGTGGCACCATGCAGTATTTGTCCCTGTGTGACTGAGATAGTTCACTCAGCATAATGTCCGCCAGGGTCACTGATTTTGAATAATATTGCATGAGTTTCTTTTTTTTCAATGCAGCATTGTAATACATTGTGTGAATATACCACAGCTTCTCTGTCCATTCATTTGTTGATGGGCACTTAGGTTGTTTCCAACCTAACTTGCTATCATGAACAAAGCCGCGATAAACATAGATGTGCATATATATTCTTGGGTGGCAGTTATGGTCTCTTTGGGTTATATTCCCAGTAGTGGAATTGCTGGGTCAAATGGTATCTCTATTTGCAACTTTTTGAGAACGTGCCACGCCACCTTCCATAGTGGTTGCACCATTTTACACTCCCACTGACAGTGAATAAGGGTTCCAGTTTCTCCACAACCTCGCCAGCATTTGTTGCTTGCTGTTCTGTTAAATTTTTCTATTCTTATTGGAGTGAGATGATTTTTCAAAGTGGTTTTGATTTGTTCTTTTTTTCCCCTTGTTTTTCTTTTTTTTTATTAAATTTTATTAGTTTTAATGAACATTTACAGGGATTTTGGGTTTTCATTCCTTCATTGCTGCACCATTCTCTCTACCCTCCTCCCCAGTTTGTTCTTCTTCCCCGCCATCCGAATGTCTGTTTTAATTGTCCAATTGCCACAGTGCTTGTCAAAGTCAGTTCTGATTAATCTCCTTTGTCGGTGTGTCCTTTGCCATTCCCTATCACTCCTCCCTGAGAGAGACTTCACCCTGATTCATAAGGAAAAGGGGATGGCGTATTCTCTTAGCTACTTCCTGCTGAAAAGGGACGCTGTGGGTTTCAGGGTGAAGATCTTCTCTCACTACTCTAAAGGGCCCCTTTGGCAGTAGGAAACACATAGACTATTATAGAGATTGATTTTGGAATTTAGATGCACTCTTATTGATTGTGCTTGGCCGTACATGTTCATATCCTTGAAGATGTATCATGGGGGTGTTGCAACCTAGAAGACACAAATTTGACTAACAAGTTATAAGTACATGAGTCAAAAATTATGGAAAAGTAAAAGAAAGGATTCTTTCATTGTTTTACAGACCCTCCCCCAGGTCCCCTCCACCATGTAGCCCTCGCTCTAGACTCCTGTGATGACAGAAATACCTAGTCATAGATCTCTTTTAAACAGTTTTCTCCCTCCTCTGTTTCAGTGCGGTATACATTATTGAACCCATCTTACTCAGTCTCTCCCCAACCCCAAATTTTTCAAAGTGGTTTTGATTTGCATCTCTCTTAGAGCTAGGGATTTTGAACATTTCTTCACGTGTTTGTTCACTATCTGAATGTCTTCTTTGGTGAAGTGTCTGTCCATATCCTGTGCCCATTTTTCAATTGGGTTGATTTCCTTTATTTTGTTGTTGTGCTCAAGTATTTTATAAATTCTAGATATAAGTCCCTTATCAGACATGTCATTACCAAATATTTTTCCCCAGTCTGTGGCTTCCGTTTTTACCCTGTTGGAGAAGTTTTTGGATGTGTATAGGGATTTGATTCTTAGAAGTTCCCATTCATCTGTTTTATCCTCTCCCGGTGGTAGATTTTCAGGATACTTGGAAGACTGTTTACGTCATGAATTAGGACTTCTAGAGTTCTTCCAAGTTTTTCTCTAATGAAGTTTATAGTCCTTGGTTTTAGTCCTATGTCCATTATCCACTTTGAGTTAGTTTTTGTGCATGGAGTGAGGTGTGGCTCTTGCTTGAGTCTTCTGCAGATAGTTTTCCAATTTTGCCAACACCATTTATTAAAACGGCTGTAGTTTCCCCACTTAACTGATTTCATCTCCTTGTCAAAAATCAGTTGACTGTAAATAGATGGGCTGGTCTCTGGGTTCTCAATACTATTCCATTGATCTATGTGTCTGTCATTGTACCAGTACCATGTTGTCTTAACCACCATGGCAGTGTAGTAGGATTTGAAATCAGGGAGTGAGTTGCCTCCTACCTTTTTTCTATTTTTCAGGAGTGTTTTGCTTATTCGGGGCTTCTTTCTATTCCAAATGAAATTGGAGATTGCCTTTTCCATCTTGTTGAAGAATGGGATTGGTATTTGTATTGGGATTGCATTGAATGTGTAAATTGCCTTTGGTGATATTATAATTTTCACAATATTGAGTCTTCCTATCCATGAGCAAGGGATATTCTTCCACTTCTCCAGGTCTCTTTTTGTTTCTTGTAGTAATGTTTTGTAATTTTCT